ATGGATGCTTAGGTTGCTTTCACCTTTTGGCTACTGTAAATAATGTTGCCATGAATATGAGTGTACAAATATCTGCTTGTGTCCCTTCTTTTGGGAATAACTCAGAAGTGGAATTATTTGATTATATGATAATTCTGTTTAATTTTTTGAGGAATCGCCACAGCATTTTCCATAGCACCCTGCACTATTTTACATTCCCACTAGCAATACACAAGAATTCCAGTCTCTACATCCTTGCAAACACTTGTTTTTGTTTTTGATAATAGCCATCCTAATAGGTATGAAGTGATATCTCACTGTGGTTTTTATTCATTTTCCTAGTGACTAATGATGTTGAGTATCTTTTCAGGTGAGTCTCAAAGCTTTTTTTTTTTTTTTTGAGATGGAGTTTCGCTCTTGTTGCCCAAGCTGGAGTGCAATGGCACAATCTCGGCTCACTGCAACCTCCACCTCCTGGGTTCAAGCGATTCTCCTGCCTCAGCCTCCCGAGTAGCAGGGATTGCAGGCATGTGCCACCATACCCGGCTAATTATGTATTTTTAGTAGAGATGGGGTTTCTCCATGTTGGTCAGGCTGGTCTCGAACTCCCGACCTCAGGTGATCTGCCTGCCTCGGCCTCCCAAAATGCTGGCATTATAGGCATGAGCCACCGCGCCCAGCCTTCTTGTGGCTTTTAATACCTTTACAATGCAGACAACCGCCAAATATTCATCCCTAAATCTCCACCCTGCACTCCAAACTCACATAAACATCCAACTAACAGGCATCTTAAATTGAACATGCCCCAAAATGAACTTCTGATCTCTCCGAAAATCTGCTTCTTTCATAGTCTTTCCCATCTTAGTAAATGGCAACTCCTTCTTCCATTTACCAGACCAAAACCTTGAAATCATTCCTGATTCCTCTTTCTCTCACAACCTATATCAGCAAATTCTGAGAGCTCTGCCTCCACAATCAACCCAGAATCTCACTGCTTCCTACATCTTTACTGCGACCAAGCAGTCTGCAGGACAGACTGCTTCTGCCCTGTCCTGCTATTTTCCATACAGAAAGACAAAGGATTTTTTTTAAAAAACTCACCACACCACGCAACCTCTGCTTAAAACCCTCTAATAGTATCCCACCATATTCAGAAAAAAAGCTAAAGATTTTACCTTGGCCCACAAGGATTTACATGTTCTTACTTAGACCTCATCTATTACTCTTTCCTTTTCAGCCTCTAGACAAACTGGCCTCCTTCATAGTCCTTTAACACGTCAGGTATGCTTCCATTTAATAGTCTTTGCATATATTATTCTGTATGCCAATACCTTTAGGTAGCCTCACAATTTGCTCCTTGACTTCCACTGGTCCCTCAAATATCACATCCACATGGAAGCCTTCCTGAACCACTCAATTTAATTGCATCCTTTCCAGCTTGCACACTATCTTCCTCCCTGCTTTAGTTTTCTCCACAGCACTTAATGCTATCTGACATACTATTTATTATACCCATTTTTGTCTCCCACCACTATAATGTAAGCATCAGAAAAGATTTTAATCTATTTTATTCACTGCCACATCCCCTGAACAGTGCCCAGCAAAGAATAGGTACTCAATAAATATTTATTGTTGGTGTTGAACTTTTCAGTGAAAAAATCCCATCTGCAAAAGCCTAGTTTCCAGAACAGAGAAAGGTCCTGCCTCTTCCATGAAGTGCGCAAACATCCTGCTACTTTGAGGTTTTACTTACCCTGATCCCAGTGCCATTGTCTTGGATCTGAATCAACTTCAGGCCTCCCTCTTTAACAATCACTTGAATACTTGTGGATTTTGCATCTAAACTGGCAAATCAAACAGAAAATAATTTATCAGTCTGCAACTACTCTAATGTACATATTTTAATATGAGCCAAGCAATGATAACAAACTCTAAACAAATACAATAGTGCCTCATTAACATGTTTTTCCTTTGTCTTACAGGCTCATACACTGTATGAGTTTACACACTGTGTGAGAGAGGGAACAGACGGCACAGCAACCATCATTTCCAATAGGACATTCAGCACTATTTCTGTTCCTCTAGGAAAGACAGCAAGAAGTTAAAAATAGATTTCTTTTGGCAGATGCCTCTTCTTAACTAATTTTACTTTTACCTGAACTTTATTCAGCCTCAGGTTCCTTAGTGACTCTAATAAAATGTCACTAAAAAATACAAATTCTGAACGATTTTCTCTACTATTCCCTTTTATATTTATGATGCAGGTTAGAAAAAAACAGTAATGCAGAAAGTTAATAAATCTTTAGGAAGTCAATCAATTTTTTGGCCAGGGGCAATGGCTCACGCCTGTAATCCCAGCATTTTGGGAGGCTGAGGCGGGTGGATCACCTGAGGTCAGGAGTTCGAGACCAGCCTGACCAACATGGAGAAACCCCATCTCTCCTAAAAATACAAAAGTAGCCGGGCATGGTGGCACATGCCTGTAATCCCAGCTACTTGTGAGGCTGAGGCAGGAGAATCACTTGAACCCAGAAGGTGGAGGTTGCGATGAGCTGAGATCACACCATTGCACTCCAACCTGGGCAACAAGAACAAAACTCCATCTCAAAAAAAAAAAAAAAAGAAAAAAAAAAAGTCAATACATTTTTTGTGCTTTCAAAGAGTAGCCTACAAGCATAGACCACCTGCTAGAGAAAACAAATTTTCTATCATGGGCTGCACGAGAAAGAGTTATCTCTTCCCCACATAGACAATTCTTTATTCAGAAACAATAGGCTGGGCATGGGGGCTCATGTCTGTAATCCCAGCACTTTGGGAGGCCGAGGTGGGCGGATCACCTGAAGTCAGGAGTTCAAGACCTGGCCAACATGGCAAAACCCCATCTCCACTAAAAATAAAAAAATTAGCCAGGCGTGGTTGTGCACGCCTGTATTCCCAGCTACTTTGGAGGTTGAGGCAGGAAGATCGCTTGAAACCAGGAGGCAGAGGTTGCCGTGAGCCAAGATCACACCACTGCACTTCAGCCTGGGCAACAGAGTAAGACTTCATCTTAAAAAAAAAAAAGAAAGAAGACAATAAGTTACTTAAACATTATAGACCCTTCTCATGGGCCCCTGTATTGAAGTTGTATTAGTCAGCTCAACTTATATATTAAAAAGAGTATAGCTGGACTCCATATAAAAATCTCCACTTGAGCCAGGCGCGGTGGCTCATGCTTGTAATCCCAGCACTTTGGGAGGCCGAGGTGGGTGGATCACCTGAGGTCAGGAGATCGAGACCATCCTGACTAACATGGTGAAATCCTGTCTCTACTAAAAATACAAAATTAGCCGGGCATGGTGGCACATGGCTGTAATCTCAGCTACTCGGGAGGCTGAGGTAGGAGAATCACTTGAACCCAGGAGGTGGAGGTTGCGGTGAGCCGAGAGCGTGCCATTGCACTCCAGCCTGGGCAATAAGAGTGAAATTTCATCTCAAAAAAATATACAATAATCCAAAAAATTAGCCAGGCGTGGTGGCACACACCTACAGTCCTAGCTACTCGGGAGGCTGAGGCAGGAGAATCTCCCTTGAACCCGTGAGGCAGAGGTTGCAGTCAGCTGAGATCACACCACTGCACTCCAGCCTGGGTGACAAAGTGAGACTCCAACTCAAAAAAATAAAATAAAATAAAATAAAAAATCTCCACTTGTAATTAAGGAATTAATTACAAGCCACCAAGCTAGTACGTTCAGTTTTGTTTTACAGTATTCTGGCACAGTACAATAATAGGCCCAGTTGTTCTGTCATTCATTCTAACATAGTAGAAACAAATGCAAGTCTGCCACTGCTTCTGTTACTACTATTACAAGTGAAAAGGAGAAAACATCCCCCCATTTCTTGTTCCTTCTTTCATCTACCTTCCAATTCTCTTCCTTTCCTTCAGTGGTCCTTTCTACCCACTGTTCTTTCAGTCCCATTGCCCTGAATAGTTTATACTTTCACAATAAATCCCTCTAGAAACCTACCACTCCTAACTGAAGCATTCTTTTTTCTATTAATATACGGACTTCACTAACATCAAATGATTTTAACAAAATGATCTGACATAACGTTTAGGTGTATTTTGGGCATGTCTTTTTGGAAGTTTATAGTCCACACTCACTTTTCCTTCCACATGTTTCAAATTTCTTCCCTCCACATTTTTTGTGACAGTTATAAGCTTCAAAATCCACGGATGACCCATGAAATCTGGTATCTTCGAATTGCGCCCTCCCAAGTAAAGGACAGGAAAACACTAAGTGGGGTCACTAATCTAACAATAGGGTAATCAGAAGTCAAGCCCAGAGTGCATCAGCCTGTCTTAAAACTACAAACGATTTGTTTTGAATGAAACTCAAAATGAATTGTGCCTTTGGATGTGTACAGATGATTTCTGGAATGAATGAAAAGCAAGAAAATAGTAACGCAGTATCCTCTGAAAAAAAGGTTTTTTTCCCCATCCTAAGCTTTTATACATCTTTCAACTTTGCATCTTGTGCATACCATCATTTTAAATTAAGTGGCTTCCTTAGTTAACGGTACCATTACGACAACACTGAGTATATTTCTCCACTTGCACTCCAAACAACCCTTAAAAGGTCTCGCGAGAGCGGTAAAGAAAACACACGGTTTGTGGAAAGGGAGAAGGCCTGACTGGCACGTCACGGAACCCCGCGGCCTCCGCCGTTGTGGGCATGCGCTGTACATGCTTCTGCTCGGGCAAGGAGGCGTGTCCGCACCATTGAAAGGAGCGACCCGTTACGTCGTAGCCCTTAAGTGAGCCCGGCTCGACTCCCTCCGTACCAGTTCTCAATCATCTCTTTGATAGCATTAGCTGGCCGCTGGATAACCTCCCCCGCCGCGATGCGGTTCACCACTGTCTCGTCCAGCCGCCGAATAACCCCTGCCACGAACGACATTTTGGCGCCAGAGGAGTCTAGGAAACGTCTAGATGCTCAACGGAAGTGCCTTCAGCCAATCGCCTCAGTGCTTCGTGCTCACGTTCTTCCTTCAAGCTGTAGCTTACGCCGCCCAGACCCACCCTCAGCGGCAGCTATTGATTGGGCAGCTTGAATGCCAGTCAAATTTCTCAACTCTGTGGGTTGCTGGGTCTCCTCGTCCCTCCCTGAAGCGGTTGCTGCCCGCTACCTAGAAGGATATGCGCTTGCGCATTAGAGAGATCACTGTCCGCTCTTCCTATTGGTTCGTTTTTGGAGCTCGGAGAATACGAAATGTCCAGCCAATAGGGGCAGAGATTCCAGAGCTGGGTTTGTGTGCCTCCGCTGAGGTGATCTGTCGCAGAGCGGAGGAGGTGCTTTGGCGCTTCTCAGGCTCCTCCTCTCCCCTTGCGGCCTTTCTAACGTTGGCCCTGGTCTTGTGGCCTCCCGCAGAATGTGGATGACGCCCAAAAGAAGCAAGATGGAAGTCGATGAGGCTCTAGTTTTCCGGCCCGAGTGGACCCAGCGTTATTTGGTGGTGGAGCCTCCGGAGGGCGACGGGGCCCTGTGCCTGGTCTGTCGCCGTCTCATCGTAGCTACCCGCGAACGCGACGTCAGGCGCCACTACGAGGCTGAGCACGAATACTACGAGCGGTATGTGGCAGACGGCGAGCGCGCGGCCCTGGTGGAGCGTCTGCGTCAGGGCGACTTGCCCGTGGCCTCGCTCACTCCTGAAGAGAGAGCTGCTCGTGCAGGCCTCGGGCTCTGCCGCCTCTTGGCCTTGAAGGGTCGCGGCTGGGGTGAGGGGGACTTTGTATACCAGTGTATGGAGGTATTGCTGAGAGAGGTACTGCCCGAGCATGTAAGCGTCTTGCAAGGCATTGACTTATCTCCAGAGATCACAAGGCAGAGGATCCTGAGCATTGACGAGAATCTACGCAGCCAGCTTTTTAACCGAGCCAGGGACTTTAAAGCCTATTCTCTTGCCTTGGACGACCAGGCTTTTGTGGCCTATGAGAACTACCTCCTGGTCTTTATCCGCGGGGTAGGCCCTGAGCTGGAGGTGCAAGAAGATCTTCTGACCATAATCAACCTGACTCATCATTTCAGTGTTGGTGCGCTCATGTCGGCAATCCTAGAGGCCCTGCAGACAGCAGGGCTTAGCTTGCAGAGAATGGTTGGACTGACTACGACCCATACTTTGAGGATGATTGGTGAGAACTCAGGACTCGTCTCATACATGAGAGAAAAGGCTGTAAGCCCCAACTGTTGGAATGTGATTCATTATTCAGGATTTCTTCACTTGGAACTGTTGAGCTCCTATGATGTAGATGTTAATCAGATCATAAATACCATATCTGAATGGATAGTTTTGATTAAGACCAGAGGCGTTAGGCGACCTGAATTTCAGACTTTACTAACTGAATCTGAATCAGAGCATGGCGAAAGGGTTAATGGACGATGTCTGAACAATTGGCTTAGGAGAGGGAAAACTTTAAAACTAATATTCTCTCTAAGAAAAGAACTGGAAGCTTTCTTGGTTTCAGTAGGGGCAACAACAGTCCACTTCTCAGACAAACAATGGCTTTGTGACTTTGGCTTCTTGGTAGACATTATGGAACACCTTCGAGAACTCAGTGAAGAATTAGGAGTTAGTAAAGTCTTTGCTGCTGCTGCCTTTGACCATATTTGTACTTTCGAAGTTAAGCTGAATTTATTTCAAAGACATATTGAGGAAAAAAATCTAACAGACTTTCCTGCCCTCAGAGAAGTTGTTGATGAGCTAAAACAGCAAAATAAGGAAGATCAAAAAATATTTGATCCTGATAGGTATCAAATGGTGATCTGTCGTCTACAAAAAGAATTTGAGAGGCATTTTAAGGACCTCAGGTTCATTAAAAAGGACTTAGAACTTTTTTCAAATCCATTTAACTTTAAACCTGAATATGCACCTATTTCAGTGAGGGTGGAGCTGACAAAACTTCAGGCAAACACTAATCTTTGGAATGAATACAGAGTCAAAGACTTGGGGCAGTTTTATGCTGGATTGTCTGCTGAATCTTACCCAATTATCAAAGGGGTTGCCTGTAAGGTCGCATCCTTGTTTGATAGTAACCAAATCTGCGAAAAGGCTTTTTCATATTTGACACGAAACCAACACACTTTGAGTCAGCCGTTGACAGATGAGCATCTCCAAGCCCTGTTTCGGGTTGCCACAACTGAAATGGAGCCGGGTTGGGATGATCTTGTGAGAGAAAGAAATGAATCTAATCCATAAGACTTTGTAGTACAAGATTGAAAAACTCAACAAGAATTTAATTCTAAAAGCAAAAATCGGTTTGAGTTTTCAAGTTTACTAATTTGGATTGTGAGAAAGTACCAAGTACCAGCCGTCCAAACTGATCACAATTAAAATTCTGACAGTTGCCTTTTTTTTTCATCTCAAATGGCAGCATGGGACTGAAACATGAGAATGCCACCTTTTTTAAAACTTAGTTTAATGACAAAGTCGTTGTCTTTTATGATATAGTTAATTTTAAAGAGATTTAGTATTAATGTGAGTTGAATTTGCGGTCTGTTTTTTAGGTGTTCTGAAGATATATGCCAAAAATTTCAGCTCTTGTTTTAATGGAGTGTTAAAATTCTGATTCATATAGTCTTAAATTATCAACTCGTTAAATGTGCTTTTGAACCAATTTGCAGAAACTCACATAGCAAGTTCATAAGTTTCCGAAAAGGAAGATGATACATACAGTGGAGGTGTTTTGTAACTATCAAAATGTTTGAGACTCTTTTTTAAACATTTCTGAGTCCGAAGGTAATACTGACAAATTTCTTCCCTTTTCCCTCCCCATCACCCACCTCAGTGATAACGACATTACTGATAGAGGAAGTCATTAGAATCATTTTTAAGTTGCTGATATAGGAGATTTCCTGCAATTTGGAGATAAGACTAATTATTGGGGGTTTTCCTTGGATTTTTTTTTTATAACTAGGGGCTATTTTATCAGCTTGCCTATTAAAGGACTATGGTAAGTATAGAATCTTAATGGTTGCCAGTTAGTAATTATTTTTTTTTTTTACTGTAGACACAAGTTTGGCCCTATCAAAAAGGATGAGGAAAAAAGATTTTTGCACTCCGGGATTAGGAGGTGTGAGATGTTTTAGCTTTTTTGTCCTATCTGCGTGGATGTTGCTGCTGTATTTAAAAAAATCCTGCTTAAAGTAAACACTTTGTTTTAAAATGATACAGTATCAGATTTTTTTAGATGCTAGAAATGGATTCTAAAATTTGGAACTGTGGAACACGTTCTATATTTAAGATAGCACACAAGTAGAAATATTTAAAAGCAGTCTTATTCACAGATTTCAATAATTCTGTATTTCCATTAAGATAATCTGCTTTGTGCCAAAACGGTAATTTCTAAACCTCTGTTAAGCGTGAAAAGGCAATCTTAAAGTTTGCTATGTAAAACTAATTATAAACAGGACCCAACTTATATTAATAGATCCTCTCAAGTATTATATACAGTTTAAAAATTATTGTTCCAAAGTCCTGTCTTAACTATTGAAACACCTTCCAGCAAATTCAAGGAACCAGGCTACAACTAAGAATTTAGATGGAATTGATGTCTGGGCAATTAAAATAAATGCCATAAGAGCCTGAAAACCAAAGTTGTGCCAGTGGCTTTCAAATAGAGGCAGTAACCTGTCCTTCCAGAGGATGCTGAGAAATGTGTAGGGGCACTTTTTTGGTTGTCATATTTACTCGGGGCTTCTGTTGGCATTTAAGGCTAAAGACACTCATGCCCTTCAGTGCATGGGACAGCCTGGCACAATGAAGAATTATCCCTCCCAAAATGTAGATTATTTCAAGGGATAGGGCACTTTACCATTAGAAGCAAAATTAAAAGTGCCAGGTGGACAAACTGACAGAATACTACATAGGAGAGACTAATTCCAACCTTCTAAATTTGGCTGGTAAAGTACAATAAAGGCATTGATAAGTTCTGTTAGCTCACAGTAGCACCTGTAAATTGGGAATTAATAATTGAATCAGATTTAAGGGCTCTGTCCTGTTATACATATTTAAGGCAGAAAAAAATTGTATATCGATTAGGTACTTATCAAGAATGATCAAGCTGAGATTTTGGTTAATAGAGTAAGCTTACATATCTAGAAAAACAACATAGTGGGAAAACGGAAAAAAAAAAAAAATCTGCAGGTAATTTCCCACGGCAGAGCTTTATTACTTGAGAGAAAGATTGGAAGACCTGAAAGCCACTTCCGCTTTCTAACACCAGTTCTTTAAATATTGAAATCTTGTACATTTTGTGAAATTCTACTATGTTTTGCTTAAGGTGTTAATAAAATTAGTTTGTATCGTATAGTCATTGAGTGAGGGGGAGATATAAGCCAAGGATTTTAAATTGACCCTTAGCTATAGAGAATTTGCTATAAGCTAGTCTTGTTTGTAGAAAAAAAAAAAGTGTATTTTCGTGTTTTCTGTATTAAGTAATTCTGTAACTGCATGGCAGTTTTTTTTTGTTTTTGTTTTTATAAATACAGTTGTTACTGGTCCTGTTGTAGCAGTGAATATAGTTAAAATAAGTACCTTTTAAAAAAAACGATAATCGGCCAGGCACGGTGGCTCATGCCTGTAATCCCAGCACTTTGGGAGGCCAAGGTGGGGGGATCACAAGGTCAGGGGTTCGAGACCAGCCTGACCAACATGGTGAAACCCCATCTCTACTGAAAATACAAAAAAAAAAAAAAAATTAGCTGGGCGTGGTGGTGTGCGCCTGTAATCCCAGCTACTCAGGAGGCTGAGGCAGGAGAATCGCTTGAACCCGGGAGGTGGAAGTTACAGTGAGCCAAGATTATGCCACTGCACTTCAGCCTGGGGGACAGAGCAAGACTCCGTCTCAAAAAAAAAAAAAAAAAAAAAATGTCCTTACCAGTTACTGCCCTGTAGCTCATTCCTACTAGTTTTCTTGACAAATTTGTATTCCCAGTCTCCCGTATTGCTACTCAAATTGCTCCACTATGCTCACTAAGTCCTTGTTAATAGTCTTACCCTCCTTGAAACACTTGAACACTTGATTACTTTAGCTTTGAGAAGATACCATCTCCGCGTATGCTGTCTTAGTCTTTGCAGGCACCTCTTCCCTTAAATATCTGTTCTTCGTATTTTTTTAAAAATGTGTTTTAGACTGCCTTATTCTATGTCATCTCGCTAGCTGATCTTATTTCCTTCCATGGTTTCGTTACCACTTATATGCAAATGACTCTCAGATTCATTATCTCCTTTCTAGACCTTCCCTAATTGATATATCTAATTGCTAACAAATCCTCTTTGCTGTCTCAGGCACTACGTGTTATTGATCTTGCCCCCAATCCTGCTTCTCTCATGTTTCCTCTTTCACTAAATGGCATTACCACTACCAACCATTCATTTGTCCTTTTTCCCAATTCTCCAATGCTACCACTTTAATTCAGGCCATTAACCTACCTAATTATAGCAACAGCCTCCTTATTAGTCTCCCTGTTTTTATTTTTATTCCTTTCTACACTACAACTAAATTGCTCCAAAAGACTTACTGATCATATCACTGCACTGCTTTCACCATTGCTCTTAGGGTACTATACAAATTTATCTTCATCTTTAAGGTCTCAGTATGCTACTTCATCTAGGAAACCTTCATTGATGCTCTCTAGATTAGGTGCCCTTACTCTCCATTCCCTATACATTCTGTTCTTTCCCAAACATACACTTGGCACACTTTATTGTTACTGCTTATTGATCACTGCTAGACTGTAAGCTTTGTAAGGGCAGGGACCATATAAGCCTTGTTCACTGTTATATCTCTAGTGCTTAGCACAATGCCTGGCATTTCAATAAATGTTTGGACAAACGAGTATTTGTGTAGTGTTTTACAATTTTTGAAGCTCTCTCACAGTCTTATTTGACCTTCACAGTCATTCTGCCTTAGATTGTCCATTGGGTAACTTTTATCCTCATATTACTAATTGAATAATGAAGATAAGTTCTTTGTAACTAGGGACCTCATTGTTGTATTCCCAGAATTTAGTGTAGCGCTTAGCATGTGACTCAAATATTTACTATGTGAATGTTAAACAAACTGCGGTTTTCTGTGGTAAACACAGTAAGTAGTAAACTCAGGATTCACAACCAGATATACACACCAAATCCACTATGTAATATTAAGTTTGTATATCCATGTATAGAATCTTATTTTTTTTTTTGCCCTTTATGAACAGTGTTTCATACATATATATGTGTGTGTATATATATTTTTTTTTAATTTCCAAAGGAACCTACATATAGATGGAAAAGATTGGACAACTATTTAGTGAACTAAAACAATACTTAAGTGATTAAAATGTTACGTTTAGTATTGGAAAAAGATAATGCCGCCTAAGAGTTAATCATCATTTTTCCTTTTGTAGGCATCAACACTAGGAGAAAATGGCATGCTATTTACTTGCTACTTTCCTTTACAGATGATTTTTGGCTCTTCTGGGATTTAAAAGTAAGTAAATTTAACAAAATAGAGGACTGACTCAGCCCTTGTGGTCACTATATTTTCAGTTCACTTGTTTTTATACCTGCAGAATGTCCTTATCACCCAAAGGGAGATGACCCAAAAGTAACATCTAGTTAATGTATACTTCTAAAGTTTGTTGTATTTCTTTGTCTTCTTGTTCCCATGCCTCTCTGAACTTAATTTCTGGGTAACTGAGGCTTTTCAGGCTTGGGTGGGAAAGCCACACCCTTAGTCTATTTCCTTAAGCCATTCTGACCAATTTAAGGGATTAACTAGTATAATCTTAGTTGGACTTTTAGTCTGAGGCATACTAAGTCATTCAGAGATCTTAACAGTAGGTGTCATAGTCATCCAGTGATTTGGTCCTTGCTGCAGGGTCTCACTTTGTCACCCAGGCTGGAGTGCACTGGTGCAATCTCAGCTCAGTGCAATCTCTGCCTTCCTGGCTCAAGCAGTTCTCCCACTGCAGCCTCACAAGTAGCTGGGACTACAGGTATATGCGACTACACCCAGCTAATTTTTGTATTTTTATGTGGAGACAGGGTCTTGCTATATTGCCCAGGCTAGTCTCAAACTCCTGGACTCAAGCAGTCTGCCCGCCTCGGGCTCCCAAAATGTTGGTGTTACAAGTGTGAGCCTCTGCACCTGGCTGCAAAACTGGCTTTTAATCAGCCTTTTGGCTAAAGGATTTCTCTTTTTTTTTTATTTTTTAAAAGATTTCTCGCCCGGCGCGGTGGCTCACATCTGTAATCCCAGCACTGGGAGGCAAAGGTGGGCGAATCATGAGGTCAGGAGATCGAGACCATCCTGGCTAACAGAGTGAAACCCCGTCTCTACTAAAAATACAAAAAATTAGCCAGGCGTGGTGGCGGGCGCCTGTAGCCTCAGCTACTCAGGCTGAGGCAGGAGAATGGCGTGAACCCAGGAGGCGGAGCTTGCAGTGAGCCAAGATCGTGCCAGTGCACTCCAGCCTGGATAACAGAGCCAGACTCCGTCTGAAAAAGAAAACAAACAAAAAAAAGATTTCTCATTTTTATCTTTTTGTTATTAAAATGTTGCCTCATCCTACCCAGTAACTACTTGAATTTGTGAATTCTGTATTCCTTTTCATTTCTGCCTGCAAACTGACCCATCTGTTCTGAGTTCATCTCTTTTCTATACGTTTTGTCAAGTGCAGTAGACAGCAACTACAAAATATTTTGTTTCTCTGTCTTTTTCTTTAGTAAAGGGTAAGATGATCTGCCTTTCAGGTTATCTCAAGGGGCAGTTTCACCTTTCCATAATATAAATTACTTTTGCGTAAATTATTTCTTCCTTCTTTGATAGCAATTTCCTGAATGCCTTCCAGCTAACCATTAAGCCAGTATTCAGTATTTTAGCATTTTAAAAAACAAGGGACCCATTTCTGTGTCAGCATGGGCTAGCTTGCCATTGGGTAACAAAGGCAAAATCTTACTGTCTCACACAACTTTTCTATTGCAACTTGCCTAGGGACTTTGGTTTAGATCATAGGTTGGCCATGACCAAACTATGGCCCACGGGCAAAATCTGTCTAGCTCCTTGTTTGTCTAAATAAAGTTTTACTGGAATATAGCCTTGTCCATTTATTTATATCTGTGGCTACTTTCGTTATACAATGGCAGAGTTGAGTAGTTGCGACACAGTGTGTGTACATCTCACAAAACCTAAAATATTTATTCTGTGGCCCTTTACAGACAAAGTTCACCAATTTGTGCTCTTAAGTTGCCTTCATTCTGGGTCTCAGGCTGACAAAGCAGATACCATCAGGAGTGTGGCTGCTAACTGTGAAATGAAAAAAGAGAGTATGGCAAATCACTTAAGGACTCTCAAAGCACTTTCATTGGCCAAAGCAAATCACATAGCCACATTAAAGTTCTAGGAAGAGTGTGGTCCTTATATATACCTGGGAGAAAAATCAGAAATATTTAGAAGACACCACCACTTCTTCATTTATATGCTTGCTTCCAATATATTTTTAACTTGTTATTGAGGTAAAATTTTAAAATGTACAGATATTAAGTGTACACCTCAGTGGATTTTTATATATGCCCTTGAATGCACCACCCAGGTCAAAATGTAGAATATTTCTAGCACTTCAGTAGGTGTGCTTATGTTCCCCAGGCCCCCACACCAACCCCTTTTATCACCATGGATTAGCTTTGCCTGTTTTAAAACTTTACATAAGTGAGATAATTATATGCACTCTTCCGTGTCATGTTCAACATTGTATCTGTGAGAGTAATCCATGTTATATGTAGTAGCAGTTCATGTTTTACTTCTGTGTAGTAGTCCATTGTGTGACTACATCACAACTTACCCATTCTACCGTTGATAGAAATTTAGGTTGTTTCCAGCTTGTGGTCGTTATGAATAAAGTTACTATGAAAATTATCACCCTGTCTTTCAGTGAACATGTGCACCCATTCTTGGCATACTCTTTGGTATATACCCTGCTTCTATATTTTCCTCGTGTAATTTATTCTCTACATAGCATTCAGAGTGATCCTTATTTTAAAATACAAATTAGGCCAGGTGTGGTGGCCCATGCCTGTAATCCCAGCACTTTGGGAGGCCGAAGCAGATGCGTCACCTGGGGTCAGGAGTTCGAGATGAACCTGGCCAACATGGTGAAACCCCATCTGTACTAAAAATACAAAAATTAGCCAGGCGTGGTGGCGCGTGCCTGTAATCCCAGCTACTCAGGAGGCTGAGACAGGAGGATCTCTCAAACCCAGGAGTTGGAGGTTGCAGTGAGCTGAGATCACGCCACTGCTTTCCAGCCTGGGTGACAGACCAAGGCTCCATCTCAAAACAAAATGTATGTGTATGTGTGTATATACATATAAATCAGACCATGCCACTTGTGTGTTCAAAATCACCAATGGTTTTGTATTACAATCAGACTAAAGTCCAATGTCTATCATGGCCTACAAGACCCTGCATAATCAGTACCCACACATATTCTGCACACATACCCTTTTTCTTCCTACTCTGTCTTACTTTGTATCCTTTATCCCTTTCCCTGTTCCTTCTCACTCTCCTCTGTACTAGACATGGTGCTTGTAAACTTGGGAATTAAAATTAATATGTGGCCTTGTCCTTAAAAGAGATGGTAATTTAAGATGGTTTTGACATAAACCATAACACTGGTTTATGTTAAAATCAGTTACCCCAGTTTATACTGATGTTTAACTCCTAGAAGGGATTTAGAAATTAAAATGCAAAACCTTGACAAATTTGAGGAACATATAAGATCTTGCATCCTAGTTCTACTAATTCTGAATTAGAGTTTACCAATTTTTTTTTTTTTTTTTTTTTTTTGAGTGTCGCTCTGTCACCCAGGCTGGAGTTCAGGGGCGTGATCTTGACTCACTGAAACCTGCGCCTCCTGGGTTCAAGCGATCTTCCACTTCAGCCTCCCAAGTAGGTGGGGCTACAGATGCACACCACCACACCCGGCTGATTTTTTGTATTTTTATAGAGATGGAGTTTCACCATGTTGGCCAGGCTGGTCTTAAACTCCTGACCTCAAGTGATCCACCCGCCTTGGCTTCCCAAAGTGCTGGGATTACAGGCGTGAGCCACCGTGCCCAGCCCAAGTTTACCAATTTTGTTATGGCATTCATGATTGTTCACTTTTATGGGAGCAGAGGGCAAAGGGAGTTAGCAAAGCAGTGGAATAAATCAGTAAGTGTTGATATTAAGTCCAAAATAGCACAGTCATAAGGGACCACCTTAAATGTTGTTCCATTATTGATACGTTACTGGTTGTTCTAACTAAAATCAGTTAATAACTGAACTCTCCACATTTTTAGCAACTTTCATGCACAATTGAAGTACAAGAAACAGCATGTATTTAAAGCATAAATTTTTATTGGTTTTGACATAAACCTATGAAACCATCACAAGAGCACTAATCCTATCATGAGGGCTCCACATTTATGAACTAGTTGCCTGTGAAAGATCCCACCCCGAAATACCATTGGAGGTTAGAATTTCAACATATGAATGGGGATGTGGGAGACACAAACGTTCAGTCCGTAGCAGGAAAATACAGGGATGTCTCAGAACCACCATTGTCTACTTTCCTCTCTGTGTCTGCTTTCTTATCACTTCACCTGCTGGCCAGCCTTTATGCACTGCATTGATGTCTGTCACCACCTTTACTCTAGTGCCGCTGACCAACCGACCTAATCTCGTGCCAATTCTATATTCGTGAGCGGGGAACATGTGATCCAGTCTCTGGTGTTGTCTTTCCTGAGGCGTGACATGTACCTGTAGTGAAGTAAGTGGTGGTTATGAAGGGGAGAATATCATAGTGTATTTGGAAGAGCTTTCTGGTTGTAAGAAAGCAACTTGCACTAGTGTAAGGGGGAGGAATAATGCAATGATTAGAGAAATACAGAAGTATCTCATGGAAGCCACATGAGGGAATGAAATTCAGTGGTCATTCAATAATTATTTCATGAAAGCCTGCTAGGCCCAAGGCACTGATCTAGGCACTGGAGATTCAGCAGTAAAGCAAGATGTATTTCCTACCCTGATGGTTGTCTGTGATCCCTTTGCACATCTGCTTCATTCTCTCTAAACAGTAGCTTCACTTGCTCATTTTTCTTCAAGGGAGAACATAGTTGTGACTAGCAAGATACTTTTTCCTAAAAGGATCCATAATATGTAGCTCATCCCTGTGGTTGGGATGAGTTGAGGTTGGAGACTTTATAGGAGGATTTGAACTGACAGGCACACCAAAAGTCATCTTACTCAAAGCCATCCAGTGAGTTTATTGCCTCCCAATGATCGGAGTTCTCACTGACCCCTCTGAGTCAGAATTTGTGGAACTGAGTATTAAAGGGTCCACAGAAAGATAATTTATTCCAACTTCTTCGCAATGTAAAGAAATTGGGCCTCAGAGAAGTGGTTAAAATTATCTTGAATTGTGTAGCAGAACCAGGAAAAAAAAGCAGTTTTTTGACCTGTTGCAGTACTTTTCTCATTCTGTCATTGCTGTCACTACCTGACTGCCTTCATGCCTCCATTTCTTTTTTTTTTTTTTTTTTTTTTTTTTGAGACGGAGTCTTGCTCTGTCGCCCAGGCTGGAGTGCAGTGGCCGGATCTCAGCTCACTGCAAGCTCCGCCTCCCGGGTTTACGCCATTCTCCTGCCTCAGCCTCCCGAGTAGCTGGGACTACAGGCGCCCGCCACCTCGCCCGGCTAGTTTTTTTGTATTTTTAGTAGAGACGGGGTTTCACCATGTTAGCCAGGATGGTCTCGATCTCCTGACCTTGTGATCCGCCCGTCTCGGCCTCCCAAAGTGCTGGGATTACAGGCTTGAGCCACCGCATGCCTCCATTTCTTTTAAGAAACTTTTTTTGGTGGAAGACCTCAGAATCTTCATGGTATTTTCTTTCGTTCTGACTAGCAATAGCTAAGACAGGTTATCTCTCAGTACTTACACAGAAATCCTTTAGGAATCTAGAATTCTTTGAGATTATCAATATGTTATATACATAATAAATATTAGAAACATTTTATATTTTGTGTGTATTATGAACTGTTTAAAAAGCACAAATATTACCTGTTTCTAGAGGATTTGAAAAAATTTATCTGAAAATAATGGAACTAGCTGGGCACAGTGGTGCATGTCTGCAATCCCAGCCACTCAGGAAGCTGAGGTGAGAGGATCACTTAAGCCCAGGAGTTCGAGACCAGCCTGGGTGACAGAGCAAGACCCTTATTGCTATAAAAATAAATTTTAAAAATGTAAAAAAAATAAATAAACATTTGAAAGGAATGGGACTGGCCAGAGCAGTTAGGCAAGGAAAAAAAATAAAGGGCACCAAAATTAAAAAGGAAGGGCCGGGCACCGTGTCTCACGCATGTAACGCCAGCACTTTGGGAGGCCGAGGCAGGTGGATCACCTGAAGTCAGGAGTTCAAGACCAGCCTGGCCATCATGGTGAAACCCCATCTCTGCTAAAAATACAAAAGTTAGCCAGGTATGGTGGCAGGTGCCTGTAATCCCAGCTACTCCTGAGGCTGAGTCAGGAGAATCACTTGAATCCAGGAGGCAGAGGTTGCAGTAAACCGAGATGGCACCACCGCACTCCAGCCTGGGTGACAGAGCAAGACTCCATCTCAAAAAAGAAAAATGGAAAAGGAAGAAGTCAAATTAGACTTGTTCACAGATGACATGATATTATATTTAGAAAAACCTAAAGACTTCACCAAAAAAAATAGAACTGATAAATAAATTTAGTAAAATTGTAAGATACAAAAAAGAGTAACATTTATTTACACCCAAAGAGAACAATTTGGGGAAAAAATGCCATCCCATTTATAGTAGCTGCAGAGAGTATTAATTACCTGGGATCATTTTAACCAAAGAAGTGAAAGATCTATACAAGGACAACTATAAAGCATTAAAGAAGTTGAAGAGGACACACACACACACAAGAGATTCCCTGTTCATTGACTGGAAGAATTACTGTTAAAATGATAGCTGGATGAGATGGCTTGCACCTGTAATCCCAGCACATTGGGAAACCAAAGTGGGAGGGTCACTTGAGCCCAGGAGTTTCAGAGTAGCCTGGGCAACATAGTGAGACCCTGTCTCTATAAAAAATTTTTTTTAAATTAGATGTGGCAGTATGCACGTGCTGTCCCAGCCACTTGAGGAGCTGAAGTGGGAGGATCACTTGAGCCCAGTGAAGGTCAAGGCTACAGTGAACGATGATCATACAGTGAGCCATGATCACACCATTGCACTCTGGACTGGATGACAGAGTGAAGACCCCATCTCAAATAAAATGGCAATTCTACTCAATGCAATTTACCAATGCAATGCAAACCCTATGAAAACACCAATGACATTCTTCACAGAAATAGAAGAAAAAAAAAATCCTAAGATTTATACGGAACTAGAAAAGACCCCAATAGACAAAACAATCCTGAGCAAAAAGAATAAAACTGAAGGTATTTCACTATCTGACTTCAAAATTTACTGCAAAGCTATATTAACCAAATTAGCATGGTACTGGCATAAAAATAGACACATAGACCAATGGAACAGAATAGAGAACTCATGTAAACCCACCCAGCCAACTCATCTTTGACAAAGGTACCAAGAATATACAATGGGAAAAAGACAGTCTCTTCAATAAGTGTTACTGGGAAAACTGGATAACTATGCAGAAGAAGTAAACTCTCTCTCACCATACCAAAAAAAAAAAAAAAAAAAAAAAATCACATCAAACTGGATTAAAGACCTAAGTCTGGGCCAGGCGCGGTGGCTCACACCTGTAATCCCAGCACTTCAGGACGCTGAGGCAGGCAGATCACGAGGTCAGGAGTTTGAGACCAGCCTGGCTGGCATGGTGAAATCCCATCTCTATTG